TTTAGATAAGGAAGACGACTTAATTTGAGGCTTGTATCAATAAATCATTTTAAGTAGGGCCTACTATAACAGATCCACATCGACCCGGCTTCTTTGTCACTACGCCTGTTATTTAGGATTGCAGGGTTTTGATTTTTGTCGGTAAATGTCGATTTCACGGCCCACATCGACAGAAAAATATTTCCAGCAATAATAGTCTAAATTCCCGGCTAGGCAAAGTAAGAGAAATCCTGCTTGGGACCTGATTGAGGATATTGACTTTATATGCTGGATAGTCGAGGAAGAATTGCTCCTCCCTGATTTCGACAAAATATACACAGGCGAGAAGTATGTTGTTAAACTTATTGCAAACGAGTTGGTCACTAACTGCGAAACAGCCTGGTGACAATGCTGCTGGCATTTGTATGTTTTGACCTGTGGTGTTGACAGCTTGTAACAAGTATAAAGCTTTAACTTTTGGAATCTCGGCATCTCCCGTCATTAAGCAATTGTCTCACCCGGCCCATGATTTCCTGCAACTGCAAAAGTCTAAATTGATAAAAATAAAATGCGTGAAGACCATCATTTTGGGAACCTGTGAATATTTAAATGGATGAAACCAGAAAAAAGCACTTAAAAATAAATGTTTATATTATCCATTAAAATTATACTAAGAAGTCTATTTCTGCCAAGCCTCCCATTATTGCAGGGCCTACAGAAATTTGGTCCACTGCCACTGTACCTATTAAGGTAGGTGCCTCTGGTGTCCGAGGGTCACGCTACAAGCAGCCTACCTCAGTTTCCCTTTTTCAACTAGTCAAAACTTCAGCCAGGTTTTTCTTGGTTAGAAATACTCCTCCTTGGGTTTGTGACGGGTTGGACCCCCTGGGATGTCACGCAGTGTGCGGGGACACCACTGAGTCTACCTGTTCTGCCAGCCTGGGCCCCCTTTTACCTGTCTTGCTGAGCCAGACTCTTCAAATCTCCTCTCACACACCCACAGGCTGGGCCCAGGTCTTTCCCCCTGTAGTCATCTTGGGTGGGGTAGCCGGGGAGAACTGACTTTGTTTCCCTAGTGTGACCCCCCCGTCGCTTACAGTGGAAATTACAAGACGTCCCAGGGAATGGTTTAGTATCAGGTGATAGGATCACAGCGTCCGTGAGGCAGGGGCCGTATGGAGGAGCTTTTCACAGTCCGTTGTCCTCGCTGACGGGCCATCCGCCTGTCTGGCTTTTCCGTCCGTGTGCCTGAAGTGTGAGCAGGGGGCGTCACCCAAACCAGCAGAGTTGAAATACAGATACAGAGTCCATATTCCCAACTTCAGATACAGACATTTGAGTCCTGGGCCATTAAAACTATTTTGAAAGGGCCTCCGATAATACATCCACGTTCATTTAGGTCCAGGGCCATTATACCTATTAGTGTAGGACCTACAGTAACATGTCCGTGTTCATTTAGAACCTGTGTCCATATATCTATTAATGTAGGGCCTACAGTAATAGATCCCTAATTAATTTGGCTCCAGTGCGCTCAGACCTATTATTGTAGGGCCTACAGTAATGTGTCTCAGCTAATTCCGCCTTAACAACACAAAAGTCTTTTAGTTAAGAATGACCCCGGTGCCAAGCCAGGAAGGGTGGGTAACTGGCCCTCATCCTTTGCCCTCCAGGCCCGGGGGCGTCAGAGCCGAAATGGGGCGCTCGTCGAAGGACAAGCGGGACATCTACTACCGCCTGGCGAAGGAGGAGGGCTGGCGGGCCCGCAGCGCCTTCAAACTCCTGCAGCTGGACGAGGAGTTCCAGCTGTTTGAGGGTAAACCGGGAACCGGCCCCAGCCCCCGCCCGCAGCTCCTTCTATTAGGTGGATTACGGTAGCCCCCATCTGTTGTGCCGGGTGCTGCACAAAGCCCGTGGGAGATTGGGGTCCCATTGTGCTGCCCAGTCTCTTGGGAGAGAACCCAGGAGTCCTGGCTCCCAGCCCCCCCTGCTCTAACCCACCAGCCCCCACTCCCCTCCCAGAGCTGGGGAGAGAACCCAGGCGTCCGGGCTCCCAGCCCCCCTTGCTCTAACCCACCAGCCCCCACTCCCCTCCCAGAGCTGGGAGGAGAACCCAGGCGTCCTGGCTCCCAGCCCCCCCTGCTCTAACCACTAGCCCCCACTCCCCTCCCAGAGCCGGGGGGAGAACCCAGGCGTCCCGGCTCCCAGCCCCCCCCCCGTTCTCTCCCTGCAGGGGTGCGCCGGGCGGTGGATCTCTGCGCTGCCCCGGGCAGCTGGAGCCAGGTTCTGAGCAGGAAGCTGAAGTGAGTGTGTGTGTGGGGGGGGGGGGGGGGAGGCTGGAGGCGAAGGGAGGATGGGTGGCAGGGGGTGGGGCAGGGTAGCAGGAGGTGATATGGGGTAGATGGGGGAATGGGAGGGGGGTGGGACTGGGGGATTGGAAGGGTGAAGGTGGGGTGGGGAGGGGCGCAGTGGTTTGGGCGGATAGGACGGGCGCTGGAGGGGGCAGAGGAGGCAGTAGCGTAGAAGGGGGCGGGACGGGGTGGGGGGAGATGGGGCAGGAGGGAGTGGGGTGGGGCAGAAGGGGCGGGGTGAGATGGGAGGGGAGAGGGGGTGGGACTGGGGTGTAGCAGCGGGTGGGAGGGGGAAGGTCTCCCCCAGGCTGTCTCTCACCTCACCCCCATGTCCCCCAGGGGCGGTGCTGGGGAGGGCCCTGACTCCGTGAAGATCGTCGCAGTCGATCTCCAGGCCATGGCTCCGCTCCCGGGGGTCGTCCAGATCCAGGGGGACATCACCAAGGTACGTGGGGGGCCCACGCCAGCCTATTCCCGCCCCCCCGATCCGAGTCCATCCGTCCCGACCCGTAACCCAGCCCGTCTGTCCCCCTCCAGGTCTCCACGGCGCAGGAGATCATCCAGCACTTTGAAGGGCAGCCGGCCGACCTGGTGGTCTGCGACGGGGCCCCCGATGGTGAGTGGGAGCAGCCCTCCCCAGCTCCAGGTGGGAGGGGGGCGGGAGGCCCCTCGCTGGCGCCCCCTGGAGGGCACCGCGTAGGGTAGGACTGGGCCCCACTGAGCCCCCTCTCCCCTCCTGACTTACAGTGACCGGCCTTCACGATATCGACGAATACATCCAGGCACAGCTGCTGCTAGCGGTGAGTACCCCGCCCGGCCGCAAGGGGGCGCCCCCTGCCGAGCCCCGTTCCCCTCAGCACGGCACCCCCTGTCAGGTGATTCCATTCCCCAATCCCCCACCACAGTTTCAATCGCTACCTATCCCAAATGGCTGTTCCCGAGCTGCCCCGACCCAGAGGTGGCTGCATCTCAGCGCTGGGTGAGCCATCCCCATGCGGCGTTATGTGTGGCTGTTCCCCAGCTGCCCCGACCCAGAGGTGGCTGCATCTCAGTGCCAAGAGAGTTTTCCCTTTTTTATTAAGGATTTTGTCATTTGTTGATAATTTCTCCTTCTCGTTCCAGGCTCTGAACATCACGACCCACGTGCTGAATAAAGGAGGCACCTTCGTGGCCAAGGTAAATATTAGGCCCTCTAAGAAGCCCCGGGGTCCTAGCTGAAGGGGTAACAGCCACAAGGGGGTGGCTCACCTGGGGCTGAGATGCAGCCACCTCTGGGGTGGGGCGGCTGGGGAACAGCGACCTCTAGCTGTAGCCATGTCTCTAGACGATTGGAGTTGTAACTGAGGGAGTTAGGGGTGTGATGCCAGGGGGCAACATACTGGTGGGGGGCTGGGCAGGGGTGCTCTCCCCTGGCAGTCAGGGCCGGGCACTGGGGACGCCGTTGGCACCGTCCCTGCACTGCTCCCTGCTGGCCTGTCACCCTGTCCCCACCTCCCTGCCCTAGATCTTCCGGGGGAAGGATGTGACGCTTCTCTACTCCCAGCTCCGCATCTTCTTTCCCGACGTCACCTGCGCCAAACCCCGGAGCAGCCGAAACTCCAGCATCGGTGAGGGCAGAACCGGACGCCCCAGGGGGGTTGCAGAAGGGGGCAGATCCGGGGGTTGGGAAGGTATCCGGGGTGTCCGGACTGTGACAGATCCGGCTGGGGGTCCCGCCCAGGGACCCAGCTGCTCTGTCCCTGGGTGGGTTAAGCCTCTGGGGGCAGGGATCTGTTTGATATTGGGGGGCACACGCCGATCCTTTTATCTCGCACCCCCTCCTCAGAGCTGGCAGCGCTGCCCAGCACCTGGGCTCGGTGCCAACCCCACACGCTCCCTGGAGCCTGCTTGCTCCGTGCCCAACATTAGAGACAGACACACTTTGCCTGGAGCCCCACACATCGGTGATCAGCAGGGGGCGCTCTCCCTGGCAGTCAGGGCTGGGCAGTAATGGGCACTGTGGGATGGGGGGCTCAGCAGGGGGCGCTCTCCCCTACCAGGCAGCGCTGGGCACTGGGGGGTGCCGTGCTGCGGGCAGCAGGGGGCGCTCTCCCCTGGCAGTCAGGGCTGGGCAGTAATGGGCACCGTGGGGTGGGGGGCTCAGCGGGGGGCGCTCTCCCCTGGCAGGCCGTGCTGGGGGTTGGGGGCACCATGCTGCGGGCAGCGGGGCGGGGGGCTCAGCGGGGGGCGCTCTCCCCTGGCAGTCAGGGCGGGGCGCTAGGGGGCAAAGCAAACAGGTATCACATTCTGTGCCTCACCTGGCTACACTGGGTCCCATCAACCTGAGGCCTGAGATGCCCAAATCTGTTCTGTCTCGTCTCCTGTCAGGCCCCCCCTTGCCAGCCTCGCCCGGTGCCCCCGGCCCTTGCCAAGGGGATCTGCACCGGGGCAAAGCTACACCCTGGCTCAGTGCTCGGCTGGTCTCCGGAGCGATTCCCTCTCGATGGGCGGGTATTTAACATCGACGCCCTTTGCCACCCGCCGCTTGGCGAAGGGCTGGGAACCCAGCTCGGGGGGCAGTGCCTGCCGCACGGGGTTTGCGTCTGCTCCAGGCGCCCCGGCACGCCGCACCCCCCTACCCACATCTCTTCCACCTCCAGAGGCCTTCGTTGTCTGCCGGGGGTACTGCCCGCCCGAGGGCTACGTGCCGAATATGTCCAACCCCCTGCTGGACCATTGCTACGGTAAGGAGCTGGGCTGCAGAGAGTGGGGGGCTCGGGGGCACCGTGCTGTGGGGCGCAGGGCTCAGCAGGGGGCGCTCTCCCCTGGCAGGCAGGGCTGGGGGGCACCGTGCCGGGGGGAACAGGGCTCAGCAGGGGGCGCTCTCCCCTGGCAGGCAGGGCCGGCTCTTGCTCACATCTGTCCCTTTCCAGATGTGGATTTTAACCAGCTGGAAGGTCCCAACAGAGTCATTGTCCCATTCTTGGCCTGTGGGGATCTGAGCGCCTACGACTCGGACAGGACGTATCCCCTCCAGGTGAGACTGCAGGGATGGGGGCAGGATCCTGGCCGGGGGGGGGGGCGGGGGGGGGAACCGGGGGGGGATCTCGGAATGGGGGGGGCGGGGGGGGGGGGGGGGGCATGCTGGCACCCCCTACTCCTCTCTCTCTCTTTCTTTCTCTCTCTCTCTCGCCCCCTCTGCAGCTGGCCCCAGGGAAGGAATACAGCTATGTGCCCCCCACCCAGCCCCCCATCCGTCCCCCCTACCAGGAAGCCTGCTTCTTGAAGAGGAACAACCTATTGACTAAGGAGCCTGGGCCGTCCCCATTGGAGGAGGCTGGCCCCGCCCCCTCGTATGGGTCAGCGCCAGAACCTCAGGGCTGCCCTCCGGAGGCAGCTGTTGAAAATGTCCTGGCGTCTCTGTCCGTGTCACCGTAGCGCACGGGCGCGTGTGTGTGTGCGCGTGTGGGCGCGCGTGTGGGCGCGCGTGTGGGCGCGCGTGTGTGCGCGCGTGTGTGCGCGCGTGTGTGTGTGTGTGTGTGTGTGTGCACAGGCGTGTGTGTGTGGGGGGGGCGCGCGTGTGTGTGGGCACGCGTGTGGGCACGTGTGTGTGTGTGTGTGTGTGGGCGCGCGTGCGTGTGCGCGGGCGCGTGTGCGTGCGCATGCGCTTGTGCGTGTGTGTGTGTGTGCGTGTGTGTGCGCGTGTGCGTGCGTGTGTGGGCGCGCGTGCGTGTGTGTCCACCTCTCTGCCGGGGATGAGCCCTGCTCTGAATCTATGAAAAGAGCATTTTAATTTAACCCTTTGTGGCCAGTTTTGCAGGGGGCTCTGCCCACCCCCACTTCCCCCCATGGCCTCTGTTTTAATAAAGACTCGCGGAGATGTCATCAGTGGATGCCTTTCAACCCTGGCCCTGAATCACCTGGGCAATCTTCCCCTTCAGGGATATCATGGAGCAGGGAGTTCCGCTGGTTAACGGCGGCAGCGTCTTCCCTCGGTTAAGGGCCCACCCGTTGGTGCCTTAGCCCCTTTGAAGCTGGCACTGGAGAGCCTGTCTCAGCCGGCGTTGCTTTATTTTGTGCGTTAATGGAGCCCCCCCGGCTCTGGCCCGCTGCCCCCGCGGCCCTGTACGAACACAGAACAGAATGACAGGCCCCGCTCCAAAGAGCTGATGGTCTGCGTACTCTGAGCCTCCTTTGATTGCCCTAGATGCAGCCAGGGAAACAGGGTCAGACACGATATTAATGAGAAATAATGCAGACATCCCAAAAATAACACCGACACCCCCTCCTGCTCTAGCTCTCCGAATGGCTCTTCCGGTGCGTCCTCTGGGAGGTATCTGCTTAAAGACGTAGCAGCCGTGCTGGGTAGACAGAGAGGCCTTCCGCGACAGCAGTTTCATATCCCCCACCATTCGTAAGTACAGGGGGTCCCCTAGATCACCCTAATTATACAACAGCACTTAGCATTTGATCTCCAGCTCCTGCCTCATCCCCATTCTTTCTGGGGGTCAACCAGTTTCCGCCCCCCCATCCTCTTGGGGAAGCGTCGCCTCCTGCAGTATCCTGTAGCAGGGAGTTCCGCAGATTAACACCATCTGTCTTCTACCTCTGCCTGCTCCCTGCCCCATGTGGGGTGGGGTCCCGCTTATACCACGGTGACGTCATGGGTGCTGGGTTGGTTCTGGACTCCGTTGGGATGGGCGTTGGTTTTCCTGGGGGGAGACCCATTTGCGGGGACCCCGGGACTCAGCTCTCCCATCTCGAGGGCCCCCGGGGGAATTCCAGCTGGCCAGCCCTGGCCCAGCCCCCCTCCAGGTCGGGGGAAGCCGGGGCTGAAATGGAAGCGATCCAACGGCGTGTGCTCGATTCGGCAGAGGCTCTCATCGGGGGAGTAGCAGGGGTTGAGGCCAGTCAGGGAGGCGCTGTCCTCCCCAGAGCCGCTAGGGGGCACCTGTGTCTGGGAGGCCTGGTTCTTGGTGCCGGTGGGGCTCTCCGGGGTGAGCTCGTCCCGTCGGAAACAGTAATGAGCGAAGAGGCTGATGAGAAACATCTCCACCACCAGGGAGTAGTAATAGATAACTGGGAAGGGAGAACGGTGAGGTTAGAGCAGCGCCCCCTTGTGCCCGGCCCTGACTGCCAGGGGTGAGCGCCCCTTGCCCCCACCCTAGCGCCGCCCCGGGGCATTGCTGTAGGTGGACTCACTCTGGGAGCGGGTATCGGCCGAGAGCGGAGGCTGGCAGGGAATGGCCCCCAGGGACCCCATGGTCTCCAGGATGCCGCTCTGGAGGCCGCACACAACAAGGACCAGGATGATGCAGACGAACTTGGAACGCAGGTTGTAGCCGGCCAGGGCCGGCTGGGTGGCCTTGTAGAAGAGCAGGTAGCCATAGAAGGACAGCAAGGTAGAGATACCAATGATGGCGTTGATGTAGGAGTTGGGGTTGGTGTAGCTCACCTGCAGGAGAGGCCGTGGGTCAGAAGATGGGTCTGGGTGGTCTGTCAGGCCACCTCCCTCTGTAGGGTAACGGCCAGCCCCACGCCCAAGGGTAGCGCCCAACCAACTCACTCCCACACCCAAGGGTAACGCCCATCTTCAACTCAACTCTACACCCCAGATAACACAGAAACCTCAATCCAACCCCACCCCATGCCCAAGGATAATGCTCTGCCCAATCTCACACCCGAGGATAATGCTCAACCCAACTCAGTGCCCCCGAGTAATGACCAGTGCCTGGGGTAAGCCTCAACCCAACCTCATGCCTAGGGAGAGCACCCAAGCTCAACACAACCCCATGGCCAAGAGTAAAGCCCAACCTTGCCCAACACCCAACGGTAAAGTCCAACCTTGACCCACTGCCCAAGGGTAACGTTCAACCTATCCCAGTGTCTATGGGTAACATTCAACCTAACCTTGAGGGTAATGCCCAATCTCTGCCCAACACCCAGGGGTAACGCTCAACCCAACTCTGATGGGTAATGCCCAAAGTCAACTCAACCTGATGCCCAAGGCTAATGCCCAGCCCAACACCCAAGGGTAGCGCCCAATGTCAACCCAACCTAACCCCCTCCCCAAGGATAATGCCCAACCTCAACCCAATCCCATATCCAAGGATAATGCCCGGCCCAACCCAATGCCCAAGGGTAACCACCTCAGCCCAGCGCCCTACGGTAACATCCAACCCAACGCCCAAGGGTAACCCTCAACCCAATGCCCAGGGTAACACCTGATGCTACACCCCTGGGTAACAGTTGACCACCCCAACCTACACTCCATCTTAACACCCAACCCCAATGCTAAGCTGGTGCCGCCATTCCCTGCCCTCGGTAGACGAGTTACCCCCTCTACCCTGAGGGGTCTGCCCACCCCATGCCAGGGAGGGGGAGGGGACGGCATGGGGCCAGAGCGACTCACATCGCCGTAGTCATACTTCTCGTCGGTCCAGAGGATGAGCGTGACGAAGAAGAGGATGGTCCTGATGAGGGACAGCTGGTACACGGCCAGGGTCATCCAGCGTAGGTTGGACCTTGCGGATGGGGAGCGGGTGAGACATGGGAGAGATTGAGATGATCCATCTCCTCCTTGGGCTGCCTTGCCTGGCTCGGGGAAGAGAGTTCCCAGCCTTGCCGCAGCCCCGTATGGAGAATATAGGAATTTGGGTGGCCCCTAGGCGTGCCTCAGTTTCCCCCTTCATCTGGCTCCCCATTGGGTGCAAAGGGGCTAATGCTAAAGGGGACCATTGTGGCTCCGGGTTAGGGGGCTGGCACGTCAAACCCATGCGCCTAGGAACAACAGAAGAACCCCTGACCCACATCAGAGGGGTGCCGAGGCCAGCTGGGCACGGGAACCCACCATGGCTGTGGCTGGAGACCCGGGACAGTGGGATGCGGGGCCAGAGATGCCAGGTTTTAGCTGGCTTCCACCGGCCCTCGGGTCTCAGCTTGGCTTGCCGAGGTCTAAGGACCTGCCGGAAGCCGGGCGTCCGCTCGCGACGCTGCCAGGGGCACTGACCTGGCTCCTAGCTGAGGGCAAGCAGGGCCGGGCGCTTACCAGCTGGTGGAAATGTTGGGCAGACAGCAGCAGCAGCAGCAGGGGAAGGGGTTGGGGGCCACGTGCTGACCCCGCAGGCGCTGGACCATGCAGGCCGAGCCCCCGAAGAAATCGGTCACCAAGTCCAGGAATTTCCACAGGGTGATGGAGTGGTAGCTGCGGAGACGGGGCAGGCAAGGTGGCATTGAGATGCTGCTGATGCTGGGGTGGGACAGCTGGGGGAACAGCTGCACATAACGCTGCACAGGGATGGCTCGCCTGGTGCTGAGATGCAGCCACCTCTGGGGCGGGGCAGCTGGGGAACAGCCGTACATAACATTGCCTCACTATGCCCCTCCTCTTTAACTTAAGTCCCGCCCCCTGCTTCCAGGACACTCACATGTTCGCAACAAAGTTACAGACGAAGGAGGATCGGGGGATGTACATGGCAATGAGGGACATGCTGCTGAACACCTGGGGATGGAGCAGAGAACAGTGTCAGGGGAGCCTGGACTCCTGGGTTCTCTCCCTGGCTCTGGGGGGGAGAGGGGGCTAGTGGTTAGAGCAGGGGGGGCTGGGAGCCTGGACTCCTGGGTTCCATCCCTGGCTCTGGGGGGGAGAGGGGTCTAGTGGCTAGAGCAGTGGGGGGCTGGGGGCCAGGACACCTGGTTTTTAGCCCCAGGTCTGAGAAGGGAGTGGGGTCTAATGGGTTGAAGCAGGGCAGGGCTGGGAGCCCGGACTCCTGGGTTCTCTCCCTGGCTCTGGGAGGGGAGTGGGGTCTGGTGGTGAGCGCGGGGGGGGCTGGGAGCCCGGACTCCTGGGTTCTCTCCTGCCTTACCGGGTAGACCCCCAGGATCCAGAGGGAGAGGCTGGTCCTGCGGGAGGCGCCCCGGCGGCGTAGGAAGAAGCCGGTCTGCTCCAGGAAGAGGCCCAGCTGCACCAGGCCCAGGGCCGTGGGAATGAGGAAGATCCACAGCTGGGCTTGGAACACTGGGGGGTGGGGGGGTGAAGGCAGAGAGAGGGGTGAGGGGTGAGCTTGAGTCCCACAGAGCTCCTGCTCCCCCCAAGTGCCCACCCCGGGCTGACCCCTCCCCCTCCCCAGGGACTCCCCCTCCATTCGGGCCTGATTCCCTCCCCCATGGCTGCATGCTCCCCCCCCTCCACTCTGGTCCTCGGGGCGCCCGGACGCCTGGGTCCCACCTTGGAAGATCTCTGAGGACAGGGGGAACTGGCCGCTGTGGAGGGTGCAGTTTTGGGGTCGCGCCATTTCTGCCTTCCCCTCCCTCCACTCCCCTCTCTTCAGACACCGCCCGGCGTCCTTGATTCTCTGTTTCCAGCTTCCCCTGCCCTCTCCCCCCCCACACCCAAGGAAGGAGCCTTCCTCGTTAGTCACTGTATTAATTAATCATTGACCCAGCCCAGGTGCGAGCGCCAGGTAACGGGGTCCAAGTCCGGCTTCCTCCACTTGCTGGGCAGCGGCGAACGGTTCGGTGGCTGAGGCCTGTGGAACTCTCTGCCACTAGATGGAGAGCTCACGGCTCCTGGGTCCTATCCCCAGCTCTGGGAGGGGAGTGGGCTCGAGTGGGTTGGTCTAGCTCCTGGCAGGATGGGGCTCCGCTCTCAGCTGGGGTGTCTGTCTGGCACCACGGAGGCCCCCAATCTCAGTCTGGTGGGGAGATGGGGGGGCGGCACCCATTGCAACAGGGGACCTGATCCTGGTGATAATGCAAATGATTAATAAGTCATTAATAATGAAGCATGAATGGGTGCCAAAGGCTTTGAGTTTGAAATGAGAAGCCCCACCATCGATTAACGACGCGTTATTATTAAAGCGCGAATGGCTCATTAAGCAATCCAGCCAGCAGGAGGCAGGAGTGGTTCTGTGTATACATTGTGTTTATTATTTATTTTACAGGTAACAAATCCGATACTTGGGGGTTTTCTGTTAAAAAAATCCCTTTTTCTAAGCTAAGTACAGTACTTTCCTGTCCCCTACCCTTGGCAGGTTTGGGGGTCGGGGGGGGGGGTAGCAGCTGTAACTTGGGCCATATAAACTCACAGAGTTCTGGGTCTTGCAGGTCCTAGAGGGGACCTTGCATGGGGAGGAGTTCTGGGCGGGGGCCGGGGCGTGTCCTTCCTTGGCTGGCAGTGTCCTTTTTCTCTCTGCTGCTACAACAGGGTGGGATCGGAATCAACCATAGAGATTTCAGTCCTCCGGTTCCTAGAGAGGACCAGGGCATGGCGAATGGCGTGTGTGTGGCAGGCAGGGGGACAGATGCAGGATAGAGGTCATTCGCCATGGTGTTTGTTCTCTCACTCTGCTCCTACAACATGGTGGCAGCAGTGGGATCCAAACTGACCATAGAAATCTCAGTCCTCCAGTTCCTAGAGAGGACCAGGACATGTTATATAGGTGGGGGAGATGCACTAATAGAGGTCGCTCTCTATGGTGTCTGTTCTCTCCACTCAAACAACACGGGGAGCCGTGGGGGGGGGAGGCTGAATCAACTATAGAAATCTCAGTCCTCCAGTTCCTAGAGAGGACCAGGTCATGTTATTTTGGTGGGGGAGATGCACAGATAGAGGTCACTCTCTATGGTGTCTATTCCCTCTCTCTGCACTTATAAGATGGTGGTAGAAGTGGGATCCGGACCCATCATAGAATTCTTGGCCTTCCAGTTCACTCCAAGGCAGGGAGGGGTTAATGGCTGGCCAGTGGGCAGGGGACAGGGACTGTGATTCCCCATGGGGCCACTAGCCCCCACCAGTCCCCGATGCCCATGCCCTGGTGTCAGATGCCCCAGTTGAAGCCCGCCAGCTCTTGAGGTTGTGTCCGATGGTCTCAGTAGTGGCCGGGGGAGGTACAGTCGGCTCACACCAGGACACCCCCCACCTCCTGGTGTCTCTGTGTCCCAGTCCAGCTCAGCCGATGAGGCGGTAGAAGACCCAGCAGCCGAAGGTGACCCAGTGGCTGGCCCAGCTCAGCTCCGACCACTTATAGATGGTGTAGGACATGCTGTAGCCCTGCGGCGGAGAGAGACACTACAGTTGGGGGAGGGAATGCCTGTGTCCTGGGGCGCCGGGGGACAGTCGGGAGCCCAGTGGGTTGGGCCGCCTGTGACTCAGGTACAGCTGAGAGTTAGGAGGGTAGGAACACCTGTTCCTGTGGTGACAAGGTACAGCCAGATCCCACCAAGGCAAGGACCGAGGTACAGTCAAAAATCTGGACAGTAGGGATGCCTGTTCCCTGGGGTGAGTGACATACAATCAGAGAGCAGGAGGCTGGGCTGCCTGTTCTTGGGGGTGACCGAGATACAGTTGGATCTCAGCTGGGTAGGGGGGCCTGTTTCCTGGGATGACTGAGGTACCGTTGGATCCCAGGAGGGTAGGGCCGCTTGTTTTCTGAGATGACTGAAGCAGAGTCAGAGATCAGGAGGGGAGGGCGCCTGTTTCTGCTGATGACTGATGTACAGTCGGACTGCACCACCCCACCTGCTCCTCTACGGTGTCATCAGCGTCGATGTCAAAGAGTGAGCCCAAGTAGGCCAGGTGGAAGACAGCCAGAGCGCCGAAAAGCAGGTTCAGCAGCCGAACCCAGAGATTCTGTGGGAGAAAGACCCCAGTTCAGAGACCCCCACCCATGTCCTTTCCTTCCCATCCCCTACCAACCCCGGGGAGACCCCTGTCACCCTGCACTCACCTCCTGGCTAAGTATAGAACCCAGGAGTCCTGGCTCCCAGCCCCCCTGCTCTAACCCACTAGACCCCACTCCGCTCCCAGAGCAGGGGATTGAACCCAGGCGTTCTGGCTGTGGGCTCACCGTGTTATGGCGGTGGGGACAGCCGGGCGGGCAGCGCTTGGAGAGGAGGCAGGCGTCAAAGATGACAGAGAGGCGCTTCCGGAGGACTTCGGAGAAAAGAAAGACGTGAGAGCAGGACACTGGCCCTGGAGATTGAGGAGAATCCCCTTGGGGGGGGGTGTCACAGTACGGGGCATAGGACACACATCGCTGCACAGTGTGTGTGTCCCTGCTACCCCCTAGAGGAGGGGATGAGCCCTGCTCTGCGTGGGTGTGTGTATTTAACCGCCCCCCCCAACCCCGCACAGATCATGCCATCACACAACCCCTCTAGAGGCGGCCGGAGAATCCCCCTCAGGCAGTGAGCACTACGGGGCATATGCCACACAGCCGCCAGTTCTGCAAGGGCCCGTCCGGGCCCCGGGGAAACTTACCATGCTCCACGTAGGTGATGAATCCCAGAGACAGCAGCACAGCGGCCAAGTGGAAGCTGAGTCCCTGGGGTTGGGGATGAGGAGGAGAGGGGAGACATCAGCCAGTGGCCAGCCCGGGAGGGGGGCTGCTCCCCCATTTGCCACCTCTCCCCGAGCCCCCCCAAAACTTACATGCAGGAGGGCGCTGGCGGCGTACGTGACAATGACAGCGGAGAAAGTCCCCAGTTGCAGGCTGTTCTTAAAGACATCTGCAAGGAAACACCGGAGGGGCGGGGGGGGGTGTAAATCTACCAGACTGCCCCGCTCCCCACAGCGCCCCCTGCTGGGAGAGATCAGGGCTGGACTAGCCAGGGGATCCCCCCCCCCCAGCTCCCCACAGCGCCCCCCTGCTGGGAGAGGCCGGGGCTGGAGTAGCCGGGAGCTCCCCCCACAGCCAGCTCCTGCCCCGCTCCCCCCAGCGCCTCCTAGTGGACCTTACAGGAGTTGAGCCAACTGGACATGGGCAGGTTCCAGCTGGTGACGACTTCCACCATCGACCGGGGCAGCTCGACATTCAAGGGTCGGGACACCGTCAGGTCCCTGCCAGGAGAGAGAGCGAGCAGTCAGGACGCCTGGGTTCTCTCCTCAGCCCTGGGAGGGGAGTGGGGTCTAGTGGTTAGAGCAGGGGGGGACTGGGAGCCAGGACTCCTGGGTTCTTTCCCAGCTCTGGGAGGGGAGTGGGGTCTGGAGGTTAGAGCGGGTGGGTGGGGGGGCAGGGAGGGGAGCCCGGATGCCTGGGTTCTCTCCCCCACTACTCACCATTTGAGGTTGTCCTTCTCCTCGGTGAATCCTGCCCCAGCCAGCGTGGCCGTGGCCTCGGAGAGGAATCCCACGAAGTAGCTGCTGAAGTGGAAGGAGATGGCGCTTTCGTAGGCCCGGAGCCACCTGCGGGGGTTGGGAGGGTGGGGAGTCAGGCCACGGGAACCTTGCTCCCAGAGAGGGGCAGGGCCCGGCTCCCACTGTGGCCGGCCTTCCACCCACCTCACTGCCAAGCCCCTGGGCGGCGTGGGCAGAGGGAGAACCCGGGAAATTCAAGGAGAAACTATCAGGTGGAGAACCAGGGTGCCATGCAGGGAGCAAGCCGGCCACCGAATCACGGAGCGAGGCAGCCACGGAGCGAGCCGGCCACCGAGTCACAGAGCAAGCTGGCCACGGAGCAAGGCAGCCACCGAGTCACAGAGCAAGCTGGCCACGGAGCGAGGCAGACACAGAGTCACAGAGCAAGCTGGCCACGGAGCGAGGCAGACACCGAGTCACAGAGCAAGCTGGCCACGGAGCGAGGCAGACACCGAGTCATGGAGTGAGGCAGCCACAAAGCAAGCCAGCCACGGAGCAAGTCGGCCACCAAGCCAGGCAGCCACAGAGCGAGCCAACTACCAAGCCACGGAGTGAGCCCGCCACGGAGCGAGCCAGCCATGGGGGCACGCAGTGAGTGACTCAGGGTGCTAGCCACCGAGCCACGGGAGAAGCCACAGGGCCACGGAGCCAGCCATGGCTGAGTCACTGAGAACCACAGACCTCCGAGCGAACGCTTCCGCTGGCCGTGGCAGCCGGGCAGTGAAGCCTGGCCAGAGATCCAGGACCTCAGTGCCGGGGGTGGGGCAAATAATCCGCTGCGGCAACAAGCCAGCTGCAGGACGGCAAGGCCAGAGGGCAAGCGAGTCACAGAGCGAGGGGGCCGATGGGCCGCCGCTCAGAGGAGCCGTTTGCCGAGCCGCAGCGCGACCCGCGAATGAGCCCCCGACCCGTTGCACACCAGGGCCGCCGTTACCTGGCCTTCCGCTTCCTCCTGAGGCCAGCGGGATCCCGGGCGAGGAGGGGGAGCAGAGAGAGTGAAGGGGGAAGGAGTGAGAAACAGAGAGAGAGAGACGGAGACCGACCCTGGCCTGGGGGCCGCTCTCCTTAGCCACGGCAGTAGTGGGGCGCCTCTTGCGGGGGGCAGAGGGGTGATGCTGGGCATCGGAGGGGGCAACAAGTGGATCAAGGTACCGGTGGAAAACTGAAGGAGGAGTGGGGTCCAGTGGTTAGAGCAGAGGGGGCTGGAAGCCAGGACTCCTGGGTTCTCTCCCTGCTCTGGGAGGGGAGGGGAAGGGAGGGTGGGTCTAGTGGTTAGAGCTGGGGGGCCTGGGAGCCAGGACTCCTGGGTTCTCTCCCCAGCTGGGGCCTTGAGGGCACTGGGAGGCTCCTGCAGCAGCAGAGGGAGACCCAGAGGCCGGTGTGAGGGAGCAGGAGGTCGTGGGGTCTCACCCCTGCCCCCTAGGGTGGGAAATGGGGGGGGGGGGGGGAGGGGACGCACACACTCACTTCCTGAGCTGCCGGTAGCCGTAGAGCGGGATGAAGTAGGAGAACAGGTAGGGGGCGACGCAGGTGGAGACGAGGAGGCAGATGATGGAGAGGAGGAGGCTCCGGGACACCTTCCGCAGCCAGGGGAGGCTCTGCGGGGTGAAGGATAACTTAGCAAATGTGTCCCTCCCCCCCCCCCCCCCCCGAGCCAGCCAGTCCCCAGCCTCGGGCCAGAGGGGAGCCGGCGCCCCCTAGAGAGGACAGGCCCCATCCCCATTCCCCATCCCCTGAGCCAGCCAGTCCCCACCCTGGAGCCAGAGGGGAGCCGGCGCCCGCTAAAGGGGAAACGCCGCCAGGCACAGTACCAGGTGTGCCCACCAGGGGCGCTGTTCCCCCTCCCCACACCCCGACTCTCACCAGGGCCCGGCTCTCCACCGCCTGGAGGTAGCTACGGAAGCGGCTCCAGGGCCCGAAGATGGCCGTGCCCACAAAGTAGATGTAGCCCATGAACTCCACAGGGGAGGGGACAGCCGGGAGCTCCCCGCGGTCCAGGTCGAAGCCCAGGGACACGGCCTTCATCGCCACAATCATCTGGGCCCCTGCCACGGAGAGAGAGACAGGCGGGGGTGGGGTACCCCGGGACTACAGGGGAGAGAACCCAGGAGTCCTGGCTCCCAGCCCCCCTGCTCTAACCACTAGACCCCCCTCCTCTCCCAGAGCTGAAGATAGAACCCAGGTGTCCTGGCTCCCCACCCCTCTGCCAGCCAGCCCACCTTGCCCTGCGGGTGGATGGGAGCCGGCGCCCCCTAGAGGGGAAAGGCCCTGTGTCCCAGTGCCAGTGGGAGCAGGTCAGAGTCTCACCTCTCATTTTATGCCAGGTCACAGTATCCACCATGTGCATCTCCCTGCCAGAAAGAAGGACGGAGACTGTTTAAGAGAGAGGAACTAATGGGGTGGGTGGGGGTCTCCCTGTGAGATCAGCTGATCTCCAGCCCCCCAGCCAATGGCTGGCTCTCCTCCCCAGACATCGCTGCACCCCCCCTCCCCCAGAGCTGCCTTCCACCCAGTCTTCCAACTTCTCCCACCTGCTAGACCTGGCTGGGGTCCCTATGGGGTGCTGTGGGGTCTCACCTGGCTTCAGGACCCCCTCCCCCCCATGGGTCCGGCCTTTCCCTCTCCATGGATCATGTATCCCCCCCTCCCCCCGCCACGGACCCAACTCCACCCAGAAGGTCTTTGCAGACCAGAATCCCTCTGTGCCCCTTCCCAGGCCCAGCCCCCTCCCCGCCAGGCCTCACCCCATGAGGAGGTAGATGAGGATGGTGATGGAGAGGAAGACCCCACGGTGGGCCGAGTGCCGGCACAGGAAGAGAACCAGGTAGCACAGCAGGCTGAGCAACACCACCCAGACCATCTGCAGCTGGAAGAAGTGGTGGAGGGCGTAGAACCCCCCCACCACCGTGCTGAGGTGCTTAGCATAGCC